CTGATGCATCCCTGTTAAAGGACAGATGATATTTTGGGAAGTTCCTTCGGTTTCGTTATCTTGGTCGTTGCTTAGAGAAACAAGTTAAAAAGAAAACAAGCGAACAAACAAAAACAAAAACGTGCGCGCAATGCGCAAGTAATGGAATCCTGATAGCTGTGACCATTATGCGCAAACTGTGTACAAGCATTTTGACACAAATATTTTATTGAAAAGAGAATATAAATGTTGAAATTTGGACATGCCCGCAGGTAGCAAAGGCTAACCTAGGCGGCTCACACCTTAACAAACTCCAGTGTGTATAGTGTAGGAAGAGAATTACTGCAGTTTTCTATTGAGTGTTGTAAAACCAAAACCAAAGTTATCACTCTAACCAATCAAAAAGCACAAAGACAGTCCAGTGAACCAATCAAAACTCGAAGTAAATATATGAAGCTGATGCAAAGCGCGGGAAAACGTGTTTGAGCGAGTCACGATTGGTTGTAGTCTTACTTCAGATTGGATGAAAAAGTGGCGCCAGTATTTTAAGTCAATTATTTAACGCTTTGATTTAAAACCAATCACTTTACGACACTCAAATGAAAATCGCTCTATGCAGTGTTATTGTATCTTTACAAATCACGCATATGCATTGGCATTATTCAATCTCCTTGATAGAGGTTTGCCTCTATTGTGGCAACAACGTGTAAACTTTCGGCTTGCGGACCCGAATGGCAAAAAGCTTCAAGACCTTGCATGCCTAGAAGGTACACAACAAAACAGGAAAGTAGAATTAGAGTGTAAAATAGGAGTTTATAGTTTTCGTAGTAACTTAACTGAGACCCATACTGGACAAAATAGTTATGAAGACTGTTCACTCGTAGCATTCTTTGAGCTCGTCACGCAATCTTCGTGGGAAGTAGATTGCCTGACTAGCCCGATGAGCGTCTGCGTAGGGGGCTAGTTTACTGGTAGCATCACTAAATATTTGCACTGGATGGGTTTCGGGCAAGTCAAACTACAGACAGCTCCGCACAGGTCTTAACTTTCAAACAAGGAAGACTTAGAATGTGACAAACAGGTATACTCACACCTTTCATGAAAATTTGTAACTACACGAGTCAGGGCCGTAACCAGAAAAAATTATGACTGAGGGAATGTTATTTGTTTGTTTCTTTATTTGGTAGCAACCCTTCAAAGAAATCAACAACAAAAACAACAAAAATGATTGAGGCAAGTACTACGACCCTAAAAGTGAACAACTATATTATTTGAAGTTGCCGCTACTCACTGCTAGTAACGTCCTGTATAGTGTTAAGAGCTGGAGCCTCCCAAGTGCGGAGGGGGGAGATACATGTCTAAGTTTCTCTCTTGTTCCCCGTCAATAAATTTCTATCGCTCCTTTAAATGTTTCGTCAAGGTTTCGCTTAATACAGCAGAGATGTTCCTTGTTCCCTCAAATTAATCCAAAAACCTTCTCTTGTCCCCATGAAGTAAATGGTCTAATAAGCACTTAATGACTGGCCCCAAGGGAAACAGGAGTTTTGTTTCCCCGATCCCCGAGGCGAAGATTGAGGTCGAGGGGAAACAAAACTCACTGTTTCCCGTAGGGCTAGTCATTAAGTGTTTTGTTATACCTCCCAACTCAAAACTAGAAAACAAAACTGCGAGTCGAAAGTTCAAGTTGTTGTTTCCCTAGAGAGTTAGTGAGTTTTGTTCGCTCTACGAGTTAGTGAGTTTTAACCAACGGCACTTGACACGTTCTTCTCCAATCGGAAAACGTATTTGAGTTGGAAGGTATAATTAATGTTCCCTTCTTCCAGCAAACCCCTTGGAACCCCTCAGAGGTTCCCTTATAAGGAAAAGGATGGACTGAAACAACGGCGGGCAAATTGGATGAACCGTTGGGAATAAATCTACCTTTTAAGTTTACCGTGACGCGTTTTTTAGGGAGCTTTCTGTTCTACAGGATAAATAAATAACATTATAGACAGACGAGAACTCACAATTAGCCAAGTAAAGATGGCTCCGAGGATGAAACCCGCCATAACATCTGTCAAGAAGTGCGAATTATCAGCCAGTCGACTCAATCCAACAAACAGTGACAAAGACACCAGTACAATCTGCAGCAATGGCTTCATCAACTTGGTTTCTGTTTTCACGGCTGAGTGAATATAAAACTGTGTGCCAGGGAAAAAAAAAAGAACATTTAGTCAATTAACCTTTTACTTACAAACCGGTCCTGGCTAGAGGAAAGTCTACCAGCTACGGATCATCATTAGTGTAGCAAACAAAACAATTAAAAACTGTAAGAACAAACAAGCAAGTGAACGAAAATACGAACGGACACAGATGAACAAATACAGGCGAAAAGACTTACTGCAAGAAATAGCATTCCATACATGGAAATGGCAGAGTGACCAGATGGAAAAGACAGCCTAAAAGGAATGGTTATCAAATAAAATCAGTTCATACATAGTTAACAACTATGGTTCACATTGCATCCGAGGGAGAACCGTCTTAGCTTATTCCAGGCTTTCGGTTAGTTCAGGATGGAGTCCGAAGGAGTGTGAGAGCGAAAACGTGGGATGGATTCAAAACAAACCGAACGCTGGGACAGGCTGGAACCATTTAGTACATCGTTGTTTTCGCTACTCGAATACACTATCTGGATCATCAACCGTCTACCCAAGTCTTTCGAAAGAGCTTGTTCAAAATTGTTCATAAATCTTGTCAGTGTCCTTCAAAGAATTAGAACCAATGGACCAGTTTTTCGCGCTCTTTTCATAATTATTCTGCATGCATGTTTGCGCAGGCACTTGTCAAGGCTACAGATTTTGCGCCACTTTTCGCCAATAGCAATACCAGCTAGCTCACTTTCCCTAGGTGGGTTATATTCTTTTGCTATTTGCATGGTTCCCGCAATTTCCGCTAGTTATAAGTTTTCTCGCACTTGTCTCGGTTATTGACGCCCCTTGAATGGCTCAACAAACAAGCAAACAAACAAATGACAGCCACAACAACAACAGTATTCTAACCTGGCCATTTTGACGTCATAGGGATCTCCGGTGCAAACGTCTTTTGTGACGTAGCCTTGTTGGCAGTCAGCTTGTGACGTATTAGCCAGGCACACGGTTAGGAACGAGGGTCTCAACTTACCCACACTGGTCTTGGAAAGGTCGACAACGACTTCGGTCAGGAATCCGCCAAAAACAAAGACGAAGATCAACGAAATCATGCTACAAAGAAAACGAATTTGCTATAAAAAGATGACTACAATAAGAAGAGCTATAATAGAGTGAAAACCCGCATGTAAGAACCTACCTTTTTTGAAGTCTGGCAAAAAAGGTTCTTGCATTTTGGGGTAGTTATTGGCAATTTAGGTTAAGTAGGTTCTTAATGTCTATGAAGGAGATGTAGTTGTTGATAACCAGAAAAATAAGTTAACTTGGGCTCACAACTGTATTATGTACATGTAATTTCTTGCGATATACATTTGCAGTCTCAAAGTCACACTCCTTGGTTAAATGATCTCTTGGTTAAAATGTTCATCATAATTTAACTGTAACCTGCTTTATCTTCCTTGGCTAAACAGGTTCTTATATTTTTGGGTTTTAAAATGGCAAATTTCTGCCAGCTGTTTGTTAAACCATTAGGTTCTTACAAGCGGGTTTTTTACTGTCGGGAAAGATAAATGGGTCATTCGCGATGACGCGTGATACGATATACGTGATGTGTGTATCTGTAGCGCGTGATTTTGACAAAAATGAGCGCTTGAGCGCGCTACAGTATAAACCTGAAATGAGCTCGGGAGCAACCCGCCCGCTTACATCCCGCTTAAAATAGTTATTTGTCATCCTCTACTAACTATGTTCGCAAGTGCTCGCATGTGCAAGTACTATATCTAGTATTTTTTAAGGGGGTAATGATAACGTTGGAAGGAAAATCTTAAAGTCTTACCTAATCAGACCACACACTAACAGTGATTAATTCATATCCTCTCATTACTTTTTCACAACGAACTCAGTAAGAGGGTTATGAGAATTGACTACAGATCATCACAAGCAGCAAATTCGTCATTGCTGATGAAAACCACATTCTCCCAAAATATATTAGAAAGATGTAGGGACAAAAGTAATAAGAATTTCAATGTTGATCGTGAACCTCAGCTCTTACCTGGCTATCCAGGGCTTCAGTTTAATCAATCCATAGGATTCTTCTTCTTCTTCTTCTTCTTCTTCTTCTTCTTGGTCCTCGTCTGATCTTGTCATGTTATTACTGATCTCAACAATCAGTATCTACAGTGTTCAACAAAAACGGAGGAATTTGGTTATTTCGAGATCTTGCACTCGATTTCAATCACTTTTGTATGATGGAAAAGGCGCACACAAAAGACTTACAAGGGAAGTGACGGAAGGAAGCTAGATTAAAAATATCAGAGCCTTAGGTTTCCACTTACGGTCAAATGGGAAAATAGATGGGGCATATTCACTTGGGCTCAGATCAGGGAACAGTGCCGTACCTGTTGTGTATTGATTGTTTTCAACCAATCCCAAAATTACTCAGTCGAATACTCGCAACTCGTACAGGGGTACTGCCAATATAGGTACCGTATGTACGGCACCAAAGGGTATGGTTTTTGAGTCGTTTTGGTCAGAAATAGGGTGTAGTTGGTCTGAAACTGGATATGGTTTGTGAACTCTGGTCTTGAACTGGGTATGTTTTTAAAAGGAGCTACTTCTTTGTCATTATAATTAAGACCGTCGACGTCAACATCGAGCTAGGGCTTGATTTAAGAGTCTACTACTACTACTACTACTAGGTCTGAAACAGGGCATCGGATGAGGTCTGCAAAAGAGAAGGGAAAACCACAAATTTTGTTCTGGAATACGGTAAAGGCTTTAAGAAGCTCGCCATACGCCCAGACCCAATTTTGGGTGTACTTCTCTACCCTGGGACTCACAAGTACTACGAAAGTTTTCGTCTCCAGTTGTCACAAATGCTCGTCAGTTTAATTTGGAAATCTTGTTTTTAACAAACTACGAAAACTTAAGCAAAGATCTGTTCAGAACAAGAATTTGCAAGTTAAAGCCGAAAATTCAATTGAATTTATTTTCCATTCAGAAGGGTATACCTTTATCTTAGTCGCTTGATTGTAAACAATAGACTCATTAGAATGTAAAGCGTTGCTTGAAGCCCTTGATGAATACTCTGAATTTCCTTCCTCCCTCGCAGGGGGAAATTGGATGTTTGTCCGTATGTTTCTCTCGACGTCATCATAAAACTGATCTTTTTATGGTTATTGCGGTTGTTTTAGAGCTAATTGAATGCTGGTACTGTACAAATGGGCCAAATTGAGTTCTCCTTATACATTCTTATGCATATTTTCTGGAAAACATTGTTATGTCTGTCCTCTCTCCTTAGTAGCGCTAATTTATTTATGGATTGTTCAGGAAAGTTGATCCCTCAGAGGGAAGGAAGGATCCTGATTGCTTTTTGGTTGACGAAAATAAAAAAAAAACATTCCTTAGGATTACTGTAACAGTAGAACTTTTCCTGAGCTACTGCAAGTTATTCGTTCCCCTGGTGAAAGCAATTTACCTTGTTTTGCTTGACTAACTTTCTTCTGTTCACGTTGACTGAAGATAATTAACACTTCTACCTTGCTTTTCAATCGCTCTGAACTGAACAATCTCGTCAAATATTTAGAGCTGTTTGATTATCAAGACAAATGCTTTCGTTCGAGAAGACTTGATCTTACGTTCGCTAAATGGATTTCTGATCACATAAGGACAAACTAACCTAGTTTTTTAATGATCTCCCTTAAAAGTGATATTCACTAATTTGCATAAGTAAAGAAGTTGTTTTTGCGAAGATTAATTACCTGCACTTACTTTAAAACTGTTCTGTCGTCTAACTGGAAAACCATTCACCGTTTTGCAGCTAAACCAGCCGGAATTCAGCCGGTTACCGTAATTGGCAGTTTGCAAGCCATTCAGCAATTCAATGTACAGATATTTTTAAGAGTCTTTCTGTCAGGAATGCTAATTTCAAAGAAGCCTTTCCCTATTTTATTTGACAGTGGGAGAGAAAGTCACAAATTCCATAGAAACAAACGGGAAAGAATAAAACTTTTGTAACGCAGCAATATCGCGTATTTAATATTAGACCATCTTCAGCAAGAAAAAAAATTACGATATCTCCAATTTTACCCCTTAATTAAATTTCTTGTTATTCATGGGGAAAAGTAGCTGGAACTGTTCTTTTGAGTTGTTAACAAAGAAATGCTTGTCATGTATACACCAATTTCTTTCAAAATGCGTTAGAGTTCTCATAAATGATATTAAGTTGGAATATAAACAGTTTGAAACGTTTCCAAAAGGTAGTCCAAAATTCGTTCCACCGGAAATTTGCCGCAACGTTTCCATACTACACCCAGCTTCCATTCACAAAGATACGCAGTGTTGCCAAGAATGTTTCCTCTTATAACATACACATTGGTTAAAACTACTTTTGAAATTATGATTGTCGATAAAAAAGAGATCATACTGCATTGCAACTCACCACAACTATCGGAATGATATATGAGAGTGAACAGACAACTTCGTGGCGCAAATAATCTTCTTTAAGTGGCTTCTGAATGCTTGTATCCCCACACAGAAATCCCTGTTTAGTCGGGTATAGCCCCTTTGTGGTACCGTATAAAGTGATCTTGATCACTATGAAAACAATAAGAACTACCATAAAACAAATAGAATCGAACACGAAGTTGATAAGTTTGACGTTCGAAGCCATTTTGTGACCTCAACTGTCGATCACAGTGCACCGACACACAAGATTAAGCTTTTCGTTGCATTTCAATGGTTTTTTCACTTTGGGTAATTTCCAACATTATGCAAATTCGATTGCCTTAATGCACCAGCGCGCTTAAACACAAAAGGGCTTGGTCACATGTGATCAGAAGCGATTCACAAGCTTATTAAAGAAGACTGAATTATTTTGAGGCAAACAAAAAGAGGCCAAATGGTGGAATTTTAGGCTATGGTTTTAAAAATGAATTTATATCGAAAGAAACTTGAGAAATTCTGGCTTGAAATAATAGAAAACCTAGACAAAGCGACATAGTTGTGCAGACTGACAGAGGTTCTTTAAATGGAGAGACGCCACATCGCCTTCACAGACAGTTCGTTTGGTTATGTTCAAGTGTACTCCGGGAACACAGACGGAAAAACCATTGTACTCCTTTCTTTACGAGCCTCTGTTTAGCTGTTGTATATTGTTGAGTCTTGTATCGGTTCTTCAACAGCAGTACATGAGGACAGAACCGTTCGTTTCAACACAGCTCGTAATACGTTTGCCATATCGACATCACCTGAAACTCGAATGACTTCCAATTTTTTAAAGTTCAGAATCTCTTCTTTTCCTTGAGTCATTGGAGACTCCGGAACCAGGGGAAGGTAGAGATAAAGAAAAAAGAAGAGATAAGAGAACGATAAAAGATAAAGGAGTAAAGATAAAGTTTTATGGGATCCAGAAAGCCAACCCCACGTCCTCGCCGTGGATCCCGGGCAACGCCCATGGCGGCTAACGGGGCTCTGGTGCACTAAGGCTTATCATTTACTTGCTATTTTGTGGGCGAGAAAACTTAAGCTTTCGCTAGCGCTATCTCACTCGTGGAGGTGGAAGACGGGGAAACAATACCCATTGACCAAAGTCGGGAAACAAGGCTAACAGAAGAATTTTTAATAAAAGGGTTGGGAAAATGTGCAACGATAAGATTTATTTCAGCCCGGTCAGTTTATGAGCAAACACTAGAATTCTCTGATGCGTTTGACTCCTGTACCAAAACCCTTGTTATAACATAAATAAAGCAAAGCGCGCGCTCTGATTGGTTAATTTAGCGTCTACTATTTGCCCATGGGTGTACGCCGCTGACGTGTGTGCTAATGTTTACAAAGCAAATCTTTTGACAGACATTGTTTCCAAAGTAATCACCGACGTCCTTCTGCCAGAAATGCGAAACTGTCTTCACAGTTGTCTGAAGATGAAANTGAGGGTATAATGAACAACTTATATTAGCAGGATAGAGATTTACATGGCAATGCGTTCATAAACTTTATGGGGAGAAGGTATTCGAAGCTATCGTCTTTAGTACTGTTAACAAGTAAGAAAGTGTCTCTCAATGTGTTGTTTTGGAATTGGTTCCTCTTAGGGGTAAAAAAAATTCAGGCCACGCCCACAAAGCAGGACCTTGGTACCTCTTAGGGGTTCTTTTCAAAATTTTTGACCAGCGCCCTCATCCTTTAATTTGTACATGATGTCCCCCCAGGAGATTTTTTTCGTTTAAAGATGAAACGGACTGACATAATTAAAAAGACTGAAGATCGATCCCACGGCATTTTTCTGTTGTAAATCAGTTGAAAAACTGAAATACCAAATTTGTTGAATAAAATATCACTGTGAGTCACAAAACTAAACAATATTCTTCGGCTGCCTGTTCCCAAATTAGCGATGTGAATCCGATGCAAAATCCCATTGGTTTGTTCACTCGTGCAATCAGGAGCCGAGCAGCAGGGAGCAAGGATGGCGCAGTATTAGTTGTGATTGCACTGAGTTTCAGCTTCGAAAACCTTAAGTTGCCTTTACCTAATTCAAGTTATAACATAACTAAGGCAAAGCGCGCGCTCTGATTGGTTAATTTAGCGTCTACTATTTGCCCATGAGTGTACGCTGCTGACATGTGTGCTAATGTTTACAAAGCAAATCTTTTGACAGACATTGTTTCCAAAGTAATCACCGACGTCCTTCTGCCAGAAATGCGAAACTGTCTTCACAGTTGTCTGAAGATGAAACTTTATCGAGTTA